TTCTGAATTGAAAAAAAAAAAGCAAAACGACAGGCGAGACGTAAGGTTGGCGTGATGTAAGGTTGAAAGCGACAGGCTGAAGCAGAGACCCCCTTTATCTTATATTCCTTCTGGGTGGCGTGATGTAAGGTTGAAAGCGACATCCGCCCTCCGTCCTCGTCCGCAATTGCATCAACCCGTGGCCGCGCGCTAGTCTTCCAGCTCGCAGCCTTGTTACCACACCCGCAGCCGCAACGCTTCCTCTGGCTTGGACGCGTCGTTGTTGTCGGTCAACAAACTCACGAGGTATGAGAAGGCCACGAGTCTCGCCTCCACATCGACGGTAGCAACCGGCCCAACGGAGATCAGCCTGGCGACCTTGAGATAGACGCCGCCAGCAACGCTGCTACGTGAGATCATCTGAAACATGTTGTTGCCGCGCTAGATAACTCTCTGGTTCACTCACGGACGGAGGTAGACGAAGGCAAGCTGGACAGTTTTCCTGACGCTCAAACGTCCCCTTTTTCCTCTTGACAAACCAATGCCACCTGCAAACTGAGATTACAGCCGGCTTAATAGCCCTCGGCAACGCAGCGCCTACGCTTCGGCCAAGCACGTACGCACGACTGACTACTGCATGCAAGCGCTCCACTCGGCCATGCGCACAGCGCGCTACTCGCAACAGATTGCCAACAGCCCAGCTACTACAACCCATGCATACACACGCACACAACGCACACACGCGCGCGCCACGGGCACACACGCTGCCCATACACACATACACACACACGCCACGCTGCAGCGTCCCACACGTCCCGTCCGTCCCGCGCGCCATCAACACACCCGACGAGCCCGACGGCACCAGTGTGTCCCGCCTGTCCCGCGCACACCCGAGACGCCCGACGAGTCCGACCACACACGCGGTGGCTTATTCCAACACACACCCCCTAAGCCTCGGCCTAGAGGAGTCCGTCGTCGTCGATGTTGGCGCCGGCCAAGAGAGCCTACTCCGCAGCTGCGGGCACTCGCGCCGGAAGTGCCCATGCTCCCTGCACTTGTAGCAGCGCCTGCGCCGGTTGCCGCCGCTCCCCGACGCCACGCTGCGCCCGTCGTCGTCGTCCCGTGCTCCGCCTTGCTGCCGCTCCCGCGCCCGCCACTGAGCTGCCGTGAACAGGAGTTATCCATCCACCTGCTCGTCGCTGTCCTGCCGTCGACGCTGAACTCGCTTGTCGAACGCGCACAGCCGCCCGAGCGCTTCGTCGAACGCCATCGTCGTCACGTCGTGGAACTGCTCGATGTCGGCGACGACGGGGAAGAGCCGATCCGGCACCGTATCCAGCAGCTTCTTGACGAGCGCCGCGTCGCCCAGCGTCTCCCCGAGGTTGGCGTACATCGCCGCCATCGCCGCGAGCCTTCCGCCGTACACGTCGAGCTCCTCGCCGTCCGCCATCTTCAGGCAGTCAAATTTGCCGCGCAGCGTCGCCAGCCTCGCCGCATGGACCCGATCAGCGCCGACGAACCTCACCTTCAGGGAGTCCCATACCCCCCTGGCGGTGAGCTTCGTCGACACCTGCAGCAGCACATCCTCCGGCAATGTCCCGAGAAGCAACGTGCGCGCCATCTTGTCCTTTCGCGCGTTCACCGCCGCGTCGCCCGGCGCCACCGCCTCCCATACAGTGTGGACGTCGAGGATCGCCTGCGCCTTGATGGCCCAGACCGTGTAGTTGTCCGTGGTCAGCATCGGCATCGCCATCGTCGCCGATCCGCCCGTGCCGCCGCCATGTGGGACGAGCGCCATGGTCGCCGGTGATCGCCCGAACTGAAGCTCTGATACCAATTGTTGTTGCCGCGCTAGATAACTCTCTGGTTCACTCACGGACGGAGGTAGACGAAGGCAAGCTGGACAGTTTTCCTGGTGCTCAAACGCCCCCTTTTTCCTCTTGACTAACCAACGCCACCTGCAAACTGAGATTACAGCCGGCTTAATAGCCCTCGGCAACGCAGCGCCTACGCTTCGGCCAAGCACGTACGCACGCCTGACTACTGCATGCAAGCGCTCCGCTCGGCCATGCGCACGACGCGCACAGCGCGCTACTCGCAACAGATTGCCAACAGCCCAGCTACTACAACCCATGCGTACACACGCACACAACGCACACACACCCGCGCGCCACGGGCACACACGCTGCCCATACACACATACACACACATGCCACGCTGCAGCGTCCCACACGTCCCGTTCGTCCCGCGCGCCATTGACGAACCCGACGAGCCCGACGACACCAGTGTGTCCCGCCCGTCCCGCGCACACCCGAGGCGCCCGACGAGTCCGACAACACACGCCGTGGCTTATTCCAACACACACCCCCTAAGCCACGGCCTAGAGGACTCCGTCGTCGTCGACGTTGACACCGGCCAAGAGAGCCTACTCCGCCGCCGGTCCTTTTCCGCAGCTGCGGGCACTCGCGCCAGAAGTGCCCGTGCTCCTCGCACTTGTAGCAGCG